AGCTACGGCCACCCAAAACATTTCGGGAAAGAACTCGGTATGTATGGCAATAGCCACTTTTAAAGCATCTGTTAGAGCTCACGTTATTCTGAAAGTCAATGAACACTGGAACAACTTTTTGCCGAGTCCTAATGTGGAATGAGAACAGGGGCTGGATTCTGTAACTGTGAGTTTTCAAGTTTACACTTAAAGTTGTGTACACTCTTCATTTTGTGATTCAGGAAGTGTGAGAATGAGTTTTAGCTGGTTGCGGATCGAGGAATGCCTGGTCTAAGCCAACTGTGACAAAATGATCAAATATCTCATTTCCAGGCACTCCCGGGTTGCCTAGCGCCCAGACTCAAGCAAGCTCGTTATCTTTACCAACATAATTTAGTCGAGACTAGCATTGCCGAACTAGTTTGGCAGTACTTAGTTAGAGGGCTGGTCAATGCCTTAAGTGCAGCTTGGCTGTAATTCTGTTATCGTCTTAGAGCTCAAAATGTGTATAATTGGAAGCTATGTCGAGCTATTTCGAAAAACTCCCCAGGCTTCTAGGGGTAGTTTTTAGCCAGGAACTCAAATATGTTGATATTTTTGTCTTACCAAGCAATCTAAATTAATAGTAAATAGAACCTGCAACTAAAAATTTACAAAATCATGAATATCAATTTTCAAATTATCCAACTATCCGAAGCATTCTCCCCAAGAGAAAAAGTGAAGCTTATCCACATTAACTTCGAATAATAACCCAGATCCTGACCCGGAGTCAGTTTTAAAGTCATCAGTGAATATTCAGCAATGTACGAGTGCGGGCTCAGTGCTGGAATTAAACCAGCATTCCCCCTCAGGAAACTTTCTCTCGCTAGAATCTCTTCATCAAAGTTAATGGTGGCGTACTATCCTGTAGCATTATAACGACACAAGTGCTCACATATCTGCCGCCGGCAATTTACGCATAGCCTCACTCAGTGTTATACCAACATCCGTTTATTTTTAGTCTGCAGGTTGTCTTTAAGGCATCCCCACGTATGATGACACAAAGTGACGGTAAGTGCACCAGTGTGTCAAGAGCACTATACACCACTCAAAAAATGTAAAGTTAAACAAAGAGATAAATTTTTGTGGACCCCCACTTACACCTCGTGAACCCTCATATTTCTTTCACGCCAACGTAGACCCCTGTCGAGTCTTCCGTGGACCCCTGGGCGTCCACCTGGACCACTTTGAGAATAACTAGTCTACACAAGGAATTAATACTCATTGACACTCTTCCTTCAACGAAATTTGTAACGCAATTGCTAAGAAAAAAATAAAAATATACATACATACATAAATACATACATATGCATGTACATATGTATGTACATGTGTATGTAAGTAATAATTTTTTTTCATTCTGCTACTTCTACCTAGCGAAATATTCAACCACAATGCAACAAAAATATAGTGGATGAAAGGCAAATACGTGCGGATATATGTATATGTAAAACTCGGTACATAAGTATATATGTACATATCTGATCTCGAGCTTGAAATATGAGTGTCATTAGAGTAACTTGTTTACAAAAGAATGAGCTAACAATCTCACTATGAACAGAATTAGGGTATATAAAAAAGTAACTAAGAAATTTCTAATATCCTTAGAATAAACCAACGGTAAATGTACCTTATATCCGCATACCTACTATGTACTTCTAACATACATAAAACCGTAACATGTTTGTTAGTTTGCTCTATTTAGCATTAACTAGTCGCCATTGCCCAGCGGATGCACATTAAATGCTGATGTAGGGTCATAAATAAATGTCAAATGTTGTTGTAATAGTCCAAATTGCCATTGGCGTAAACGTACATATACAATGGTGTGGCTGAGCCACTTGATTTCGATTCTCCTATTTGTGTTCGTGAGATACAAACCTACACACATATACATATGTACATATGCATGTTTGCTTTCAACTCTTTTAGCTGTCGATAAATCAAAAGTTCTTTGAACATCCAAAAATACCAGGCGTCGTCCTTTGGAGGTTATCGTGCGCACTTCGAATGAGAAAATGCATTTGCCATTTCTATGTAATGGTGACCCGAATACTAGTTCAACTATGACCAACAATAACCCAGTCAGCTTTTGGACAATTGATCGGTAATTTATTTCGTTTTCGAGTTTCATTTTCGAGTGCGCGAATCTCTTCTATCTCTTCGAAGCGGCCACGGAAACTCCGAAGGAAAAATGTTTCTAAACGTAGATATCAAATATATATATCGTTTCTAGGGCTGCTAAAGTTACAGTAACTAACATTGTATGTAGCAATACTAAATGAAATAAAAAGAGGCCGGCGTAATGCAATTAAAGCTGACATAGAAGCCAGCACTAATTAAATACATTAGGCCTGTTTGGCACTTCAATACGAAGCTAACTGTTAGACATCCGACCAGAAAGGATAGGATGCAGGAATGCCAGTAGAGGATAGAGAGATTAGAGGGGGTATATCCATCTACACTAATGGTTCAAAGATTGAAGAATAAACCGGAGACGGTCTCTACTCGAAGGAACAGCAGTTCAACCGGTCCCTTCGTCTCCCGAACGATTGCAGTGTCTTTCAAGCATATATCTGACGCTAATATAGCTTATCGTTAAACCGTCTACGGTATTCGCCCTCACCAACTCGCAAAGTCCCGTAAGTCTTTCGTAGAATATTCTTCCCGAAAACTCCAGGAGCCGCCTAAACGGATGCCTATAGTATCCTTGCTTCTGCGCGATATCCCAGCATGGGTGTTATGAGTGACTCATAGATGATGATTTTTGTATGGCGAGATTGAACTTTGCTTTTCAATTGCCTACTCAGTCCAAAATAGCACCTCTTGGCAAGAGTTATGCTCCGTGGGATTACGGGGCTGATAATATTTCTGGGGTTAATACTGGTTTCTAAATGAACGAATACTTTTCAATTTAATAACCGTCAACATTTTGTTGGTGCTGACACGCTTATACCCTGACTGTTTGTCTGATGACAGAAGATACTCCGTTTTATCCTCATTCACCACCAGGCCCGCATGCTTTTCTTCGCTATCTAATTCTGAGAACTAAGAACAGACATAGCCCTTGGTTTTACTGATTATGTCGATGTCATCGGCATATGTCAGCAATTGTAAGCTCTTGTAAAGATTTGGGCCTGAGCGGTTCAATTTTGCAGCTTTTGTTATCACCTCCATCATGAACACGAAAGGGAGTCACCTTGTCTGAAACCTTGTTTGGTATTCAACGGCTCGAAGACGTGGTTCCCAATTCTGATGGAACTGACGGTATTTCTCGATATCATTTTACACAGCCGTATTAGTTTCGCGGCGATACCAAATTCAGACATCGCGACTTACAGACAACTCCTTTTAGCTCTGTAGAAAGCGGCTTTGAAATCGACAAACAGATGGTGTGTGTCGATCCAATTTTCACGAGTCTTTTCAAGATATGGCGTACTGTGAACACCTGGTCTATGCTGGATTTTCCAGGACTAAAGCCGCACTGATAAGGTCCAATCAGTTCGTTGACGATAAGACCTTGTAACCTATACTTAGAAGGCTGATCCCGCTGTAGTTGGCGCTTATGTCAGGGTTGTGTTTATTTTGGATTGGTCAGGCCACACTTAAATTTAAGTCGCCGGGCATACGTTCATCTGACCATATTCTTCATAAGAGTTGATGGATGCTCCCTTTCTTGCCGCCGTGTTTTTCAGCCGCGTATCTGCTGTTCGTAACTCGCCATAGTCAGGCGGTGGGATATCGACTCCATTGTCATCGACTGGAGGCTCGGGTTCGTCCACCACTTTCAGTGCTGCTGTCATTCAAATTAACATATACAAATAAGAACATTGCCTGGCATATATCTTTTTACCAAAACACAATGACAATTTGCGCGAACCACCAGCAATGCGTTATTAAAATATTTGTTTGTTAGTACCTATGAATAATAAGGCACAATCTGGAAGACACCACAAAACAAAATGGCTGCCACGATCTTCCAACAACGAGGTATAATCATCTCTAAAATTTGTAAAAATATATGTGCTTCGATCGAGTCTGAATTACGTATTTTTTTCAAACCGAATATCAATCAATCCTTTTTGTTCAGATCAATTAAAATACATCAGATTTTATATAGAAAAGTACCTCCTATTGTTCAAGTGAAGTTGTTAGGTTTTGCAGTGGGCCCCCTTATATATATACAGTGGCGAAAACATAAATAGGGACGCGATATTCCAACCAGTTGAGGCTATTATTCTTTGTTTACTTAACAAACACCATGTAAGTCCAAATTTTAAACTTGACAAAGTTTTGTCAATACTTCGAGATTTTTAATCAGAATATTCAGAAAAATTTGAGTATGAATTCTACTGGCGCTTTCAATTTTAGTGATGTTCAAGTTTGAAGTAGCTAGGACTTAAGCTGATGCCAGATAAAACTTTGTGGCTTTGCGTGACATTTGCCAGCAAAGTGCAATAAGCAAAAGGTGTGTCACAATGAACGTCAAGGAAACAATTTTGCACTGCTTTTTTTACTCGTGAAAATTGCTGTAGATTTTATATATTTAGTTTTAAAAATTTCAGCAGTGTAATTAAAATTTATGTTTCTGCCTGAAAATTCAAAATTGGACGACACAAAATATATATTAAAGCAGCTGATGGCCAACGCGCGCAAAAATATAGGAGTTGGTCATCTTTTCGCTTCGCGCTGCAGCTGAAAGCATCTACATATGCATGTGGCATGCTTTGTGCATTTTCATACATTTCAGCTTATCTGTCAAAGCGAATCTGTAACGCAAAGCGAAGCAAGCGTTTTATCTGACATCAGCTCTACTGTTGATTTTTCGCAATTTTTTTTTTATTTTTTTTTTTTTGGTTAAGGCGTTGCTCATTTTCTTCGTATAAAACAAATGTCGTTTGAAATTGGAACTTATATATGAATTAATGTTTTTCTATAACTTACGGCGCGCCGCTTATTATAATTTTCTTTGCATTACTTACCACTTTATTTCCAAAATCGCAGATCCCTAAATCTCAAATCTCAAACTGCTGTGTTGCTGACTTTGTCAATTTCATTTATTCACAAACACTTGCGGCAGCTGTAATCAAATACGATGCGCGAACTTAAATGGCAGCGATGTGAGTACCGAATATTTTAGTTAAAACGAAACGCGCGACGACTGAGGTCGAAATGTTTAGCGTTTAAATATCGAAATCAACAATCAATCACTCTGCAAGTTTAACGAAAAAGCTTTTTATTTTTAGAACAGAAAGGTTCACAAAACTACTTCAAGTTTTGTGGTTTGTCAACAGATATACTCATATACATATGTATGTTAATTTGCACATTTTAATTGAAAGTCAATTTATAATCATTAAGAAAAAAGGTTTAAAAATCGATCAACGCATATTTGGGAACTTTTCGCGTAAATAGCGTAAGCGACATATTTTTCAAAATATTGTTTTTGATGCAGAAAAATTACTAGAGCATCGAGATACATTTCTGCATCAAAAAGATAATTTTGAAAAAAATGTCGCTTACGTTATTTTGGCGGTTAAGGCTCGATATTATGTAAGCGATAGACAATCTCTACAGCCATTATATCGAGCCCTAACCGCCAAAATAACGTAAGCGACACTTTTTTCAAAATTTTCTTTTTGATGCAGAAATATTCCTAGAGCATCTTGATGCATTTCTGCATCAAAAAAAAAAATTTGAAAAAAATTTCGCTTACGTTATTTTGGCGGTTAGGGTTCGATATGTATAGCCATTCCATGCTTTTACACGAATTTCTGCATAGCTATTTTTATGGTACTTAAGTAAATTCAGAACGTACTCAATATTGGTAAAATTCGATATTTCATGTTTTTACAAGTTTTGATAAACCGAAAGTTCAAAGCGAACTTATGCAAAATAAATCTTTTCCTGTCACTAGAGGCATTCTCTTTGCTCTCCGTACCTCAGTTTTGTGTTGTAGCCAAAAGGTTTTACCCAGTTGCAGAAATTTGTAATGCACGTTTCAACCAGTGCACTATGCGTAATTTGATCAGTTTATGTGGCCAGAAGTCGCTTTCTGTAGTTACAAAAAATCAACTTTTTTGTGCTTGGTATTTGATAAACAAAACTTCAAACGACAACTGCTTAGCGGGTGGTCTTAATCGCTGTCTGTGAGTGAAATATTGGAATCGGTTTTTTTGTTCAGCTTTTTAGCTACTTTCGAGCAACTATATCTAGGTTAACAGTTAACTAAAAAAATAAAGAGAAATATAGAGAATACAGAGAAAAGTTAGTATTTTTAAGATCTATAACTAGTTTTTTTGACAAAAAATATATTCCTGAGATATAAATATATAAGTACATACTTCTGATATAACCTTATTTAATTTCTTTCTTAGAAGAGATATTTGAAAATGCATTTAAAATGTTGGCCCTGTGCGGACGTGTTAAGGCTATCAGAAATGTGTAGAATCAATCAAGAGTCAATCTAGTGTTACGATTTTTTGCGTTTTCTGAGAAAATGGCATTTTTTTGTAGGTATTGTTTAAACTGTCAGCAGCGAACTATTTGCTATTTGGAGTGGGAGAACTCAATAAAGAGAGGACACAAAAAGCTGTTTACAATTATGTTGCTGCAAAGACTGCTCCCTTTTACTTTGCAACAGACAAATTAGAATATTTAGAGCTTTCAGGTTTTCAGTTGAAGTTAATATAACACGGCAATAGTTTTTTTAAGTATATATTTAAGAAACAAATGCATTCAGACTTCTTCAATAAAACTGCAAAATAAAATTGTGCGAGCATCTTTGGACCCACCGGTCGTCAAGGGTTAAGACTTTTTTTGTTGCAATAATGTGGAAAATCGTTTGCCAATCAATAAAAAATTATGTTTTTTTTTAATAATTAATCATAATTAATTTTGACCACAAAAATGGCTCAAATTAACCATAGTGCAGTTTTTAAGAGAAATGTCTTATTAAAAACCTTTTACTTCCAGACGTAAATAATTTGTCTTATATTATTCTCAAGCACGGGTTAATCAAGCCAAAATTTGGTTTGCTTAATTCAGTCTAGGCTGGAATTAGTGTCCTTCAAGTAGTGGTTTCAATGAAGATTTATTAGGCTAGCACTTTAAATCTGTTAAGGCAGTCACTATATCAGAAAACTCATCCACCAGGTATTCAAAATAATGCTTTATAAGTTTATTGGCGAAATTCGTAGTTCTTCCTACATAAGTACATACATTTTAAGTGTGAAAATGAGCCTATTACAGTTTACTGGTTGGAGGAGAAAATTTTGTAAAAGTTGTAGTTCTGGTTGAGTGTGAAGATCATGTATCATCTCCCACTGAGCGGCACTAGATTTATGGGGAGCTTAGTGTTTTTAATGAGATTTTTGAACAAAATAGATATTAAAGATAAGAAATCTGAAATTTTAGCATAGCATCAAACGGCTTTTGGTGAATACTCTCACCGAATTTCCTCAAAGGGCATTGATTTTAAAAGAGATTCATCAGACAATGTTTAATCGTCCGATTAGTATGACGTTCGCACCCTAGTATTGCTCCTCGCTTTGCTAACTTTCTTTCCACTGCAATTACGCTATGACCAAAAGAAAGTGGAGAAGGGAAAAACACTCCAAACTTAACCGCATCAATGCGCGCACATGGGAGAACGCCTATTGCATATGTCTTTACATGCACATATTTTTGTTATCAATAATAAATATACAGTTGGGGTATTCACAACGGTGTCGTAAGTGTCGTATTGTTGTATGTCGTAAACTTCAAACGCCTAAAAAATATATTAAGGGGGTTCCCAAAGTAACATCAAAGTCATATTATGAAATTTCGCAGTGTTAAAAAATGGCTGGTTGTGATTTCCAGTCCTTCCTCTAAACATTTATTTAAGCTTTTAAATTTTACGACATACAACAATACGACAACGTTGCACAGTGGGACGTCCCCATATAAGCTGTGGCCAAAAGTAGTAACCGTACTTGAAATTCGCTGAAATTTCATATATGCGCTGTTCGGCACTTAAGAATGAAGAAATGTGGAAAATGGTAAAATTCAACGTGCTACCACGCCCACAGCTCTTGTGGGCGGAAATAGTAAATGCTATCCGATTTTGATGAAATTCAGAGCATATGCTGGTTTTAACGAGAAAAGCATAAATCTGAAAGATCGTCAAAATCGTTTTGCATTATCATCCAGTAGTTATAGAAAAACAGGCGAAAATAAAACAAAAGCTTTTTAATACAATTCGGTGCGTCCTGCTCGTTTAAGCCAGAGTTTTGCAACTTGGAAGATAATAAACAATTACCTATTACGGCGCCCAACTTCTACACAACTTTTTTGGCTGCAAGTACTAAATTTTATGATTTTTGGAGAAAATTACACATTTATTTTGTTTCTAAAGAAGTTCATATTTATTCTTTTTAAAAATGACACAACGAAAACATTTACAAATACCTGCATACTAAATTATGTTCACGATATGTATTTACACTCAAACTTTCAATTTCACCTACTAGCTAGAGCTAAGGCTAGCAGAACTCTTGCCATCGAAAACGGATCTCGTCCAGAGAAGCGTCCATTTTTGGCTGAATGTTGAATGTGAAGTCGGTTTTTTTTTTGCTAAAAATTACTTGTTATATATGCGCACAAGTGGAAAAACTAATTCAAATTAATTGCGACAAAATCAAAATTTTTTCTCACAAATTTATTTTTCCGGGTTGTTCCTACTTTGAGCTCGTGTCAAATGTGCATTTTTATCAAAAATTCTTTTAGGTTTAGGTTAGCTGGATATTTTGCTATTTATCTGCGTAATTACTTTTTCAGAATTCGCTAACCTGCTTTTACTACTTTTGGCCGCTGTAGTCCCATTGTGCGTTAGGAATACCCCAATGGTATTTCTTGAGAAAAATTAGGAATTTTATAGAATTTTTCTGTCAGTCCTACTTAAATAATACATATTTACTTCAAATGTGTTCTTGCGCTCAGTCAGGGAAGCTGTTGAGTTACAAAAACCTAGTGAGCAGAATATGTATTCAGCTTGTTTAGTTTGCGTTTTTTATCATTCTACCACAACGAAAGCTGCTGGCATGCTTTTCACGCTTTAGAAAGTGTATATTGTATAATACACTGAGAAGGAAATGTTTAAGTTTTAAAATTTGTTTTTTTTTTTACAATGCACTCTTCTATATCTGTCAACAAACAGCACAAATTAATAGGGTGGTCACAAAAATTCTGATTTTCATTAAATCAGCACAATTTTTTTTCCTATTTCAAAGTCCATTTAGCGCATTTTCTTGTTAATTCACATTTCAGATTGCCATTTCTAATTTACTTCAATTTTCTCTGTCATTTTCTTATGTAGTATTTTTCATTTATCTCTCTGAAGATAAATTTTTTTTATAACAACACATTTGTGCACATAAACGCCCACATATACACACACGAAAAGTACACAAAAAGCTAGCCAACAGTGCCACGTCGTCGACTTGAGAGTCGGAAAGTCTACAATTCACCACAAGTTTGCTAGACAATTTGAAGATATTTTCCATAAAAATTTCTTCTTAATTCTCTTTTTTTTTTGCTTAATTTGGTTTAATTTTTGCATAAATATTTTATTAATTTTAATTGCTTACAAATGAATTTGCTTATATATTTATATATTTTTCAATTAGCTGAAAAAATAACTTTTTCCACACTGCGTTGCCAAACTTTGCACGTTGCAGGCTACCGTCGTACTGAACGCAATTCGAACTGGAACTGAACTAAAAATTTTCAATGGCTGACATTCCGACTTTGGCGTTGGCGTTGCCAGCGCTTCACTATCACACACATACATATACACCCACAATATACATA